TAAACCCTTGAACCCTAAACCCTGAAACCCTGAAACCCTGAAACCCTAAAACCCTAAAACCTAAAACCCTAAACCCTAAACCCTAAACCCTAAACCTTAAACCCTAAACCCTAAAACCCTAAACCCTGAGGATCTTACAAGGTAACCTCCCAAAAAGGAACGAGAATGGAGACTACAGGTCGAGCTGATGGTCGGTTCCATGTTTGGGGTTTCGGGTTTCGGGTGTAGGGGTTTAGGGTTGAGGGTTTGGGGGTTCAAAATTTAGGGGTTTGGGGTTTAGGGGTTTAGGGTTGAGGGGTTTAGGGTTTAGGGGTTTAGGGTTTAGAGGTTTAGGGTTTAGTGGCTTTGGGTTTAGGGGTTTCAGGTTTAGGGGTTGAAGGTTTTGTGGTTAAGGTTTAGGGTTTAGGGTTTAGTGGTTTAGGGTTTAGAGTTTAAGGTTTAGGGGTTGAAGGTTTATTGTTGAGGGGTTTAGGGTCTAGGGTGTAGGAGCTGGTTAAGAAACCCTGGCCTGAGAAACCCCAGAAGAGCAGGATTCATTTACGCACAGAGCCCTGACAGAGACCCAGGGTTTCTTAAATCAGGGTCTTAGGTTAGGTCCTTAGCTAGGAATCAGGTTTTGGGGTGTTGGATTTTATTTCGGGTTCAGGGTTTGGGGTATTTAAGGTTTATGTTTAATTACGTGGCTTGGGCTTGAGGGTGCTTCTTCTGCAGTTTGCAAGGTGAACCCTGGTGGCTTGGTTGACCAATCCCTAAGCCCTAAACCCCAAAGCCTAAAGCCAGGACCCTAAACCCTAAACCCTAAACCCTCAGCCTTTCAGACCCTGAAACCCTGAACCCGGGGACGTTTCGGGTCTGGGGCCTGGGGCTTAGTGTTCAGGGCTCTGCGTATTTAGAGATTAATATAGGGGCCCAAACAATGACCTGCCCTATTTTTTGGTTTCCTTATTATGTTTATAGTATAATGTACCCCAAAACCCTATTCTAATTATAAAGGCCCCTAGATTAGGGCTTTTAGGGGAGGGTTCAGTTCAACCTAAAACATCCGGAACCCGCAAGACGCTCCCGCAAGATCCGAACCCCAACAAACATTTACAGAAAATTGTGGGCTCCGCTTCAAAGGGGTCCTTATAGTAAGGATCCTTAAGTACCTTACTAGTCAACCAGTCAGGGTGGCTCCATACAACAACGGCCTCTTACCTTCTGAGTCTGTCACCTGACAGCTGTGGCTGGAGGACGGAGGTTCTCGCGGAGAGCCCAGTACACCTTAACTGCGAGACATTGCTCGGACACCCCCCCTAGATTTGGCCCTAAGTTAGCTAGCTCTGAGGGTTTGCTTCGGGCTAGAGAAGTTCCCATTAGTGGCTTATAGCCGAGAGTTGTTGAAAGTTTCAAAGTTGCCAGAACCTCAATGCCAAGACCTGAAACCCTAATTTGAACCACCCTAGACCCTAAACGCTAATACCAAAACCCTCTCCCTAAACCCTAGTTCCCTAAACCCTAAACCCTAAACCTTCGATTGGCTTCGCAGGTGCTCTCGAGACTGCGGAGATCATTGCCAGGAGGCCGAGCCGACCATCGCAGAACAGGCCAGCAAGGAGAATGACGCTTGCCGACTAGGGTTTAGGGTTTAGGGTTTAGGGTTTGGGGGTGCTAGGGTTTTAGGGCTAATACGAAGAGGTGATTTGGGGTTGAGGATTTGATTCAGGGTTTAGGAATTCACCTCGGTTTGGCCAAGGGTCGACAGAATGCGCCCCATGTACTGTCACCCTGTTTTGATTTGCTATATCAGCCGAAGGTTTAGAGCTTAGGGCTGCATTGAGCGTAGGTGAGGGTCCATACGAGAAGGTGTCGGTTTTCGGGCTGGTGCAGTTCGTCTATTTCGATTGTCACGTGGCCCCGGCACATCATTCGTTTTTGCTGGCGTCTAGCGAGGTCGGCGTTGTACTGTCAATGGGTTCAATTCAGTGCATACGATTGAATCTGGTGGCGTTGTCGGGTGCCTATAGGGTCATACCCTACCCCTTTTTTAGGGTACCTACTTTTTAATATAACAGATCCTATCCATAAAACTAGGTACCTTAAAAAAAGGGGCAGGGTATGACCCTTTAGGTGTTGTTGCTACCCGGAAGGGGCCTGAACCCCTAAACCCTGACCCTAAACGGAGCTCTGCACCTCGCAGAGGATCACGAAGGTTAAATGGCGAGTCCATGGGCCTTTGGCTTAGTATCTTCCGAGCGCAATGGACCGCCAAACCAGAAAGCAAAACCTCCATAATAAAGGGGCCTCCATAATTACCTAGATTATTTTGGGGGCTCCTTGTTATAAGTATACGATAACGGACCCCAAAACCCTACTCTATTTGTTAAGGCCCCTAGACTAAGCCCCGAGCCCTAAACCTGCAACTCCAGATCCGGAAATCGAACATGCGAACCCTAAACCCTCACCCGAACATTTTACAAGTCTCAAACCCTACACCCGAAACCCTAGGTTTGGGGTTTAGGGTTCAGGGTTAGAGGAATCCTTATGGCACCCTGATTTTGGAATCCTTTGCAAGAGCCCCTATCCCGCCAAGGATCGACGATCAGATTACGCTCTTGGCCACGGCCAAGGTGACTGACGTTCAGAGATTCGCCTGAGAGGGGCGGAAAAACACTGGGTTTCCCAGTAGTACCCCTTTCTTTAGGCTTTAGGGTTCAGGGTTTAGGGTTTCCAGAAGTACCCTTTTGCCCTTTTTTTAATTTTGGGGTCTCCCTGCTTACACTGAATCGTAGGGAAACGGGTACCCTTATGATTAAGGGGACACTGGGGGAAGCTAGCGTTTGAAGGAACCTTTAAAGAACCCTTATAGATCGCCTTAAAGGAACCATTCATCGATCCCTTGAAAGGAACCCTTATAGATCCCTCTAAAGGAACCCTTTATAGATCCCTTCGAAGGAACCGTAGATCTCTTTAAAGGTACCCATCTAGATTCCTTTTATGAAAGGGACCCTTACAGATCACTTTCAAGGAACCCTTTTTGAACCCTTTTTGAACCCTAAACCCTAAACCCTAAACCCTAAACCCTTTTTGACATTGGGGAACCCAGAAAAAAGGGTCCCCTGAATCCTGGACAGGAACCTGTGAAACCCGACGGTTTTGACCACAGCTTGCTTTTCGGGCTTAGGGTTTGGGGTTTAGGGATTTAGGGGCTTTGGGGTTTGGGGTTAATTCGGGTGTAGGGGTTTAGGGATTTAGGGGCTTTAGGGTTTAGGGTTTAGGGTTTACGGCCTAGGGTTTAGGTTTGTATTATACTTCTTGCCATTTTATGGCTGTTCCTCAGTATGTCTGGCCATTACTTTCAGTGTCGCTACCGTTTCGGCCGTTTTCCACACTTCAGGCTGTTGGGCTTGCATGGCTGTTCTGTTGTTAACGTCTGGGTATTGCTGTGACTATCAGAACTGTCCCCCGCTTATGTTACCTTCATCTTTGCGTGTTCGCTGTTTCTTTCCTTCTGCTCATCTTCGCCATGCGATACGCTAGTCTTCTTGCCGTGAACTGTTACACCTGGTCGTGTCATTTCTGTTGCTATTGTACGTGTTCCGTCTTTCCGTTACGACGACTAGCAACAGCCACCAGCACAGCACCACGAATGTCTCCTGCTCCTTATCCTCCTGCTGCTGCTGCTCCTACAAGCAGTGCCACCGCTACTGCTATGTACTGCTGCTGCCGTTGCTACTCATTCCAATGCTGCTACTTCTGCCGGTGATCATTATCTGTCTTTCTGCTCTTCAGCTTGGTTTCTACAAGTCTCGCAATGAGTGGTGCACACCTAAACGCACCTATCAGCTCCCACGGCTTCTTCAAATCCCAGAATAGTTGACTGATTCCACAAAAAGAGAGACAGGGGCCCTTGCACAATACCTGAGTCAGCACAGCAAATGTCTGTGTAGTGGCAGGGCTCCAGGGGGGGGGGTATCCGTAGGGAGGGCCCCCCCCCGTCGTCATTGGCGACAAATCTTCGCCGAAGCTCCACGCATCCTAAGGATGCTCGTGGTCGTATTCCGGAGCCTCCGGCTTCGCATTTCTTTTCCCAACGAACCTTGTGCTCACGCTCATATATGCTTTCGAAGTATACGAAGATATCTGGGGAGCATAGCTATGATAGAAGCCATCCGCGTTTAACTAGCGCCCAAGTAGGCTTAGTGTTTTCTGATGCTTCTAAGCCCTAAACCCGAAGCCCCTAAAGATACCCTAGACCCGCCAACTACCCTCTAATATACCCCAAATACCCACTGTTAAGGGCCATAAGGGATCTATTCAAGCGTACTTGGGGGTCCTGGGCTGGGCTAACCCCATCCTTCCGCGCTATCCCGGGCCGGAGCACCGCAGCAATCGGCGGATCCCGAGCTTCCATCGCAACTCAGCCTCTCATTGCACTGCGAAAAAAGGAGCGGCTGCTGAGGGTTAAGGGTTTTTGTTTTTTTTTGGGCTTTAGGCTTTGTTGGGTTTAGGAGCTTTAGGAATTTGGGGCTTTAGGCTTCGGGTTTAGCGATTTAGGGGTTTTCGGGTTTTATCGTTAATAAGCTTTAGGGTTTTGGGCCGAGTGCATGGTGACCCTAAACTCTAAGCCCTCGAGCATAGGACGATACTCATGCCTGGGTAGAAGGTCTAGGGTTTTTCGTATAAGTGCTGGGATTCCGAAATTCTCCAAAACCCTAAACCCTAAACCCTAAACCTACATGAAAGTCAGACGCTCCCTCTCAAGGCGATCGCGAGCTTCCGGTAGGCAGGCGGCCTTGCAAGACGATCGCTTTCGGCTTCGCCGATGTAAATACGATCTTTATTCGTGCCGACGGCTCTTGAGTTGAGGTGTAACTCTGGCTCCTTCCGAAGCCTTGTTTTCCGGCCTGGCAGTGCAACGTGCGGTTGATGATATAAGTCCTGCATCACCGCATAAGAAGGAATATCCCATCATTCCCACAGCTTAGGGTCCTTAAGGTAATGCAGGATTCATGTCATCAGGAGTAGTACCGGATCAGCAAGGGTTGATATTTGCGGGAAGACCTTCCAGCCCAGCAGTTTTGTCAGCTCACCGCGATTACAAGCTGGAAGCCACAGGGCAGACCTGCTCCCCGAATTCATTATCACCAGAACCACCACCAACAACAGCGACAATGTACTCGTCATCATCATCATCATCATCATCATCATCATCGTCATCATCATCATCATCATCATCATCATCATCATCAAATCATCATCATCATCATCATCGTCGTCAGCATCAACATCATCATCAGCTTCATCTTGACAGTGATGTTCGATGTCGTCATCGAGTCAGCAACTTCGTCGAATCCTGCTCAGCATCGCTATAGCCGCAAACAGCATAATCATCGTTGTCATCATCATCATCATCATCATCATCAGCGTAGTCATCATTGCCCGCCCACTCTCATCGGCACCTTGCCACATTCATGGCGGTAACCGTATCGACAACAGCTCAGCAGGCCCGCGCCACTCTCCGATGTCTGTTGCAGGCCAGTTGCGGTTGTGGGTCTCGGGGCAACCTGACCTCCACACATTTACATTGCAGCTCAGTGCAGGTTTGAGTGCTCGTTCATATGTCCGCTTCTGCGCGAAGCGAGCAGAGGCAACTGAATGATATCGACCGGAATTTGCAAAGACCGATGACGCCAGTAAGAACAAGGGAAACGCCACAAAAGAACTCAGGGAATGAAAGAACCGACATGTGTTAAGCTTTACATTATGATTAGGAATTTAACTTCAAAATTATGGCTGAGACCGGCCTCTCTCTGTCCCTGTGGATCCTACCGTCTTCATAGTTTCATCTAAATTAACTGTCGGGCTGCGATGGATCCTGGCCGACCTTCGCCTCAGAATCCTAGTATACATGTTGCGGAGGCGCCCTAACCATGAACAGCTGTTGATGGAGACGCAAACAAGAAGACTAAGAACACTATGAGAAAGAGGAAAGGTGGACGACGTCGGGACGGGACTGTTGTTGGTGGTCGAAGATTTTGATGATTTCGATTTCAAGCAGCTCTAAATCAGAAAACCCAGACAAGGGAACACAAACCGATCTGTTACACGATTCTTCTTCATCTTCGACCAGAAGGTCTAAGAGCGACAACTACGATAGAACTCACGAAACAAGAAGTACAGGCAGACAGTGAGTGTTCACAACATGCAAATGTGAATCAAGAAACAGAGTGCAAAACTCATTAGAGAGACTTTTTTAGCTTGTTTGAAGAGGTTGCGGGTTTAGAGTTTAGGGTTTAGGGTCCAAGATCAAGGCAAACAAGCCATGACAGCAGTGCAAGAGCACACGCTGATCCCTTGCCAAATACAAAACTGAACCCCCACGGCAGTTCATCAAGTTCACTGAATAGTCGGCGGAACTCGCAATCCTAACAATAAGTGTACCTATACGTACCCGACGGACCTGTATAAACGTGTATATATATATATAACACCTCTCCGTCGGCTTTCCTTCCTAGGGGTGCTGGGTTTCCTCATCACAGGCAAACGATCCATCGTCCCGATAGCAAAGAGCCCAAGTCATGAAGCTGACCATGTCCCGCGCAGCTGCAAAGCTCAATTTAGGGTCTGATGGCAAAGCCATGGGGGCGTTGACATCCAGGCAGGAGCCTTCATCGATCGCTCAGGGCTTATGTCCAATTTCTGGATGGGTCCCTTTCCTCCCAAACCCTTGGTGCCCTAAAGCCTAAACAGATAAACCCCAAACCCTAAACCCTGCAAGTCCTCAACCCCTTCAGCCCTATATCCTCAGGCCAAAGCCTTCGGACTACAAAAAGGTCGCCGAAGATGAGACACCGCAGTCCTTGGGCGGCATTTGCATACAATTTAGGCATTTGGGCTTTGGGTTTAATTTGAGCATTTGGGTATAGTGTACTCAGAGCATTCCTCAGCAGGAGCTTAAGACGGACATGTATCCCGGACATGGTATATACAAACCTTACGAAACTCTCCAATATACAGAAAAGGGCTACCGTGGGGCCTGCGTTTGTGAACGGCAGGTTTGACGGTAGGGCAGGCCTTCATCTTCTTCGATCATGGTTCGATGGTTTGTCAATGGTTTCGTCATCTGTTCTGCTTAAAGTTTTGTTGTGACGTAACCTTACATGTTGCATGTTGTTGCTGCTGTTTGTAGACACAAGCTATGGTTAAATCGTTCTGTCGTTTTGAAACACCACTGCTGTTGTTTATAAACTCTAGTATTACCCTTCTAAACCCCCTAACACCCTAAGCCCTTAACCCTAAAGCCTAAACCCTAAAGCCCTAAACCCTAAAGCCCTAAACCCTAAAGCCCCAAACCCTAAAGCCTTAAGCTCTAAAGCCCTAACGCCCTAAGCCCTAAGCCCCGAAAGCCCGAAAGTCTTCAACCCTAAAGCCCCAAACCCTAAAGCCCTAAAGCCCTAAAGCCCTAAAGCCCTAACGCCCTAACGCCCTAAAGCCCTAAGCCGTAAAGCCACGGTTTAGGGTTTAGGGTTTAGGGTTTAGGGACCTAAGCCCCGAAAGCCCTTCGAAGACCCCTGCCTCGTCTGAGGTCCGGCAGTGACGAGGAGGTCTGGGGCTGCATGGAGACTTGGCAATCCGAAGGCTGGTGACGGGCCTACTTAGCGGTTATAGTTTATAAGGGTTTAGGGTTTAGCGGTTTAGGGTTTCAGGGTTTAGGATTTAGGGTGTTAGGGTGTAGGGTTTAGGGTTTAGGGTGTTAGGGTGTTAAGGTTTAGGGTTTACGGTTTAGGGTTTAGGGTCTTACTGTTTTGGGTTTAGGGTTTTAGGGTTTAGGGCAGGGGCCTTCATAATTACAGTAGGGTTTGGGGTATACTATACTATATCTATAATAAGGAACCCCCAAAACTCAATTCCAAGTTTTAAAGCCCCTACATTACGGAAGTTGGGTGAAGGGGCTTAATATAGGGGCTCGTCCATTTAATAATAGGTGCTGACACCATTCCGCATGGTTGCTTTGTATGTCTTAGTAGCTGAAGGAGTACACGTTAGCACGTTTTTGTGACAATATCACCCCCGAGAGAAACTGCTGACTGTCCCTAAATCCCGAACTCCTAAACCCCTAAACCCCAAGCCCTAAACCCCAAACCCCTAAACCCAAAGCCCTAAACCCCCAAACCCTTAAACCCAAAGCCCTAAACCCGCAACCCCTAAACCCAAAGCCCTAAACCCCCAAACCCCCTAAACCCCCTAAACCCGAAGCCCTTTGGGGCTTGGGAACTCAGCTTCCTAAGGCCTAAACCCTAAGCGATAAACCCTAAACCCTAAACCCCCCCTTAGGGCTTGGGAACTCAGCTTCCTAAGGAAAGTTGCTCGCAGTTCTCGCGGCCAAGCTCCGAGGCTTCCAGGCCCGTCTTCCAATATAGCGGCCTAATGCAGGGGGCCTTCATAATCAGGGTTCAGGGTTTAGGGTTTAGGAAGTTTAGGGTTTAGGGTTTAGGGTTTTGGGTTTAGGGTTTAGGGTTTAGAGTAGGGTTTGGGGCAAAGTATACTGTAACTATAATAAGGGACCTCGTGGATATCTTTGCCAATAGTCGGACCAATGCTTATGTAATTATGTATGTATGTATGTATGTATGTATGCATGTATGTATGTATGCATGTATGTAGGCATGCATGCATAACTTCTTGGCACATTTGTGCATGCTCATGTACACATACACACAATCATATGCCTACACGTATGCGCATGCGTATATGTATGTGCATATGTCTATGCATGACCATTCAGATGCACATTCCAGGGGGTTTCCGATAATAGGGGAACCTAATCTAGTACCGTAGGATCCTTATTACAAGGACCCAAAGTAAGGCACCCCTCATTTTCGGAAACTCCCACGTGCGTAATAGCTATGTGCACATCTATCTATATATGCATTCAGAGGTCGGCGTTGGGATTGGGCCACGTGGCCAGATGCTGTAGGTTCCTCTATCATCAGGGTTTAGGATGTAGGGGTTTAAGGTTTTGGGGTTAATGGTACTATATAGGGGCTTAACTAATCACCAATAGTCTTGTGGGGGTTTCCTATTATACCTAAAGTCTAGTATACCTTCAAAACCTTAATCTAATTATTGTTAAGGCCCTATAACTCTATAAGCCCTACATACCCTCAGCCTGAAGCTCTAATCCGCAGAATGCAGAAGCCCACCTTTGCTGTCCAGACGTTAAACCTGATCCTTGAATCCTGAAAACCTGAATCCCTAAACCCTAAGACTATGTAAAGTCCTGTGCCGGAAAATCCTAATCATAATCCTAAACCATGCCCCCGAGAGAGGGCGCACCCCCTGTTTCTAAACTTGTCTCTACGACCTTTCAGCAGGGACCTGGACGAAGAGGATACTTTCCATGACTATTCTCCTCACATCCTGATCCTCCTGAACAAGGAAGGGCCCAAGGGGAACCAGAAAATCCTTGCAATTCTTGAGCCAGAAACCCTTAAGCATTGCTGAGAAGCACCCACATAGTCACACCATAGTCCCAGAAATCCTGAGACTAAAGCCCTTGCAGAACGTTTAAAGGGCCCAAACCTCGAAATTGTGCAGAACCGCTTTGTAAAACCTTCAAAGGCCCCTTCTAAAAACCCTTATCGGAACCTGTTTTCGAACCCTGAACAAACCCTAAACCCTAAACCCTAAACCCTAAACCCTAAACCCTAAACCCGTTCTCAAACCGGATCAAGCCCTCTAGAAACCGTCTAAGACTCTAAACCCTCAGCCCTAAGACCCTAAACCCTGAAACCCTCAGCCCTCTCTGAAGAAGGTCGGGGGAAGAGGACTCGATCTTCGACGACCTTTGCGAGGGCCGAGCAAACAGCTCCTCTGTCAGCTGATTTCGGGTTCGGATTTAGGGTTTAGGCTTTAGGGTTTAGGGTTTAGGGTTTAGGGACCCTAAACCCTAAACCTTAAACCCTAGATGGGTTTATTTAGGGTTTAGGGGTTTAGGGGGTTTCGGATTCAGGGCTTAGAAAATTTTGGGGGCAAAGCCTTCGGCTCTCGTCCTCTAAAGGAGTCTCAATGGCATTCCACGAAGGATTTTGTGGAGTTTATGGGGTTGTACCAGTTGCCAGGGCTTCAGGTCGTGTTGGGAAAGCTGTGAAGTTTCCTTCCGGGTTTAGGGCTTAGGGTTTATAGGGCTTATGGTTTAGGGTTTAGGGCTTAGGGTTCAAGCTCTTAGGATTTAGGGTTTCGGATAAAGGACTACAAAACCCTAAACCCAGGTCAAAGATTATAGGCTTACTTGGCACCCTCCAAACCCCCAACACCTAAACCCGATATTGTCCCCCCTAAACCCTAAACCCTCCAAACCCCTAAACCCTGAAGCCCTAAACTCCAAATCTCAAACCCTGAACCCCCAAACCCTAAACCCGACTAAACCCTAAACACTGAACCCCTATACCCTAAAGCCCTAAATCCCTAAACCCTACACCCTAAGGAAGCCAATGATGGCCGGCCTACAGCTGCCCCTGTCCCAAACCCAAGTCGGGCTTAGGGTTCTGGATACCTTCGACCCGTAGAATCCTGTTAGGACCTCATATTATAGGGTTTAGGGTTTAGGGTTTGGGGTTTAGGGTTAGGGTTTAGGGTTTCGGGTTTGGGGTTTGGAGTTTGGAGTTTGGGGTTT